ATCAATCCCCAGCATGGTTTTTGGTGGGGGGGAGTGGGGAAAGAGCTTGGAGCTCATCGCGGTTCCTTGGACACTTCCAGGGATATGGGGCAGCCACTGAAAATTTGGGAATTTCAGCCCAATTCCTTCCCAAAATCCCACCCCAAATGTCCCCATTCCCTGTGTCCTTGTCCTCCCCAGTCCCTCTCCAGCTCTCCTGGAGCCTTTTGAAGCTCTGGAAGGTTCTCCCCGGATCCTTTTCCAGCTCTTTGGGATGATCCCAGCCCCGGGGGGATTTTGGGAATTCCACCCTCCGGATCCTGGCCCCGGATTTTTTTTTTTCCCCTCAGGGATCGTTCCCAGCTCTCTCCCTTCCCAAAATGGATTTTTCCAAGGCTCTGGAGGGCTCTGCTTTTTGTCATGACAGCAGGAAAATTCCACGGGAAGAGGCGCTCCAGCCTTTTCCAGGAACAGCTGGAAAAGCTCTCCCTGCTCCTGTGACATCCACGGGTTGTTATTCCCAGAATTTTGTCCATGTTCCATATTTTTACAGCGTTTTTTTGGGGGCAAAATCACCTTTTCCTGATTTATTTCCTAAATCATTCCTATTATTCCCTAAATTATCTCCTATTTACTATTTCCTGGATTTTTTTAGGGCACAAATCCCTTCCCTCCAACAGGGATGTAAGCGGGGGAATGTTTAGGATACAATTCCCCCTCTCCAGGTGTGGTCCTCACTTTCCTTGGGGACTCTCCAGTGTCCCTTGTCCCCAAGGCGGGGGTGACAATGACACCCCAGCCGTGGTGTCACCCCCATATCCCGCTTTTCCAGGTGGGATTCCTGAAGATCCTCCACAAGTACGAGATCACCTTCCAGCTGCCCCCCGTGCCCAACCTGGGCAAGGACGTTTGTCCCCTCCCTGTCCCCAACCCCAACCTGCGCATCATCAGCGTCACCTCCCTGCCGGAAGGTACCGTGTCCCCTCCTTGTCCCCAACGTCCCCAAACGGGCCGAGGCCACCCCCAGGTGTCCCCTCAGTGTCTCGGCGAGGTGACAATTCCTTCTCCTCAAGGTCCCTGATGTCCCCAAGCTCCGCTTTTTTTGTTGTTGTTGGGATTTTCCTTTCCCGGGGGGACAGGGATGGCTCCAAGAAATGCCACCCTCCACTTTGGGGACAATTAGGCGCTGCCACATCCATCCACGGGATCCCAGAGCCTGGGGACAGCTGAGTGTCACCCTGGGTGGGGTGGCAGTTCCTTGGGGACACGGGCTCCGCTCCGAGGACACCGCAGGTCCCCGAGGCCACCTCGGTCCCATCCCAGTTGTCCCACATCCCTGTCCCCTCGGGGCCATCGGTGTCACCTCCCGGCAGTGGGGACAGGGTGGGGACAGGGTGGGAGCAGGGCTTTTCCCACCCGCCACTGGCTCCATCCCAAAAAAGCTTGAGGGTTTGTTTGGAGAGTCCCAACAGCGGTTGGGATCGAGATCGGGATCAGGAGCAGGATCAGGGGTGGGTGGCTGGACCAGGATGGGGATCCGGGATTGGGGCTGGGATTGGAGCTGGGATCTGGACCGGGAATGGGATCAGAGCGGGATTGGAGC